TGTCAAGTCTTCGAAAATGCTCTCTAATCCATGTCGCGTAGGTGTCTTTGCATGCATCATTACCAGTGCTCGTAATTTCGAATACACTTTATTATGTAATAAAATTTTTACATCAGTTTCTGTTGTTGTCCTTCTTGTGTCTTTATCTCTATTTATCACGTCCGTGTAGTATTTCCACCCATGCTTTCCTAAGTGTTTATGGTTCCTAATGATGTACTTTACATCTCCTCAAAATCTGTACACGAAGGTTTGAGACATCCTGTTATATAATAAAGCCTGCTCTTAAATTTAATTATATTTTCTCATGAAAGTTTTTCGTCCTTTCGCTCTAAACAAACCATATTAAAATGTAAAAAAAAATATAAAAATCAAAATTCTAACTTTAAATTACAATAGGCTGCTGGCCATCCTCTTTAATTTATATGTTTTCCCTTCTGTCCAAAAAATATTAACTTCTTATAATATATCACTCTAAGCGGTGTCTAACTAAATTGTAAACAGTGAATCTAACATGTCAAGAGGCGGTGAAACTAAATCATGTCAAATGACGGTAAAACTAAATCATGTGATATGATTGCTGCATAATGCTCAGCAAGCAGATGCTTACGTAACTCTTCAGCTAATAATTATTTAAGTTTTATGAACCTAAACTTAACAATCCTGAACTGAAAAATAAATCATTTTGAACACAACTTTCATCTTAGACATTAGTCGATTTCAACATTAGTCATAAATTGTCCCCAGTTGTTGTGTTAGACATTTTTATAGAAGCTCGCTGGGTGTCTATTTAGCCAACCCGTTATAGATTTGGATGGAAATCATCATTCGCTGAGAATTTTATTATCTCATTATGCACTCATTATTCACTCATACTACAGCCATCTTTTCATCTGTACTCAAATTACCGTCAAGCCTCCCCGAGTACCATCCAGCCGGTATAGCGGTTAGTGACGCTGTTTGCCGTAGCGATGAGCCCTTGATCAAGTCCCGGAGAAGCTATGGTTGTAACTGTCCGTCCCCTTTATTAGGAGGCAACGGTGGCCCCGTAATATGTGCTTCCATAATGAAATTGCCACCCTTTCTGGCCCCTGTAGTGGCGCAAGACTCCTGGCTATTAAATAAAGCGTCCGGCCATTAAAAAAAATTGAATAGGTAGGCATTGAAACTGTAGACATAGAGATTTTATAGACGCAAACGGCAAACAAAAATTAACAATTGAAACTACTCATCTCTTTTCTTATGAATGAGTATACTTTATATCCCTTCTATGGCATCTCTCATGACTTAAGGCAAACTGTTATTCCCATCATCTTTATTCCTTCCAGCATGCTTTCTCCGTTTTAAGTTTGGATGTTTGAATATAGAGTGCTCATATTTTATTTCTGTATACATGAAATGCTTTCTTACTATATCTTTATTTATCTGAGGGTTAATTTACATATTAAGAATAGTTTTTATGATTTGATAGATTTTTTGGAAGACCTAGCCGCGCCCACCAGCGACCGAGCGGTAAAGTCGCTGAATACTGGTAGTTCGGTCCGAGGTTCGAATCCCGCGAACGAGCTGGCTGCATGGGCATTTTCGTGGTTTTCCCCATGTGCAACGTGTATACGAGCCAGTTTTCCTTAGAAAGTCCTCCACGAAGGCATCCCTTCCCTTAGACAGATAGCCCTAGTATGCTTTGCCATAATTAAACACACCACACCACTGGAAGACCTAGCCTCTTTTAAAAACGTCTCTCGTAGAAAATTAATGGTGACTGTTTCTCCGTTTACGCAATTTCGATTTATAAATATTTTGGGTTGATCACTCTAATTTCGCAAATCATAGATATCTGAATCTAATATGCATTCAAATATTTTTCTTCAATTTTTATTCCCAACTCTTTTATTCCAACTGTTTCATATCTTCTGTAAATAATAGATACGGTAATAAGTACTGTACCTATTATTTACAGAAGGAATTCACCTATTATTTCTGTAAATAATAGGTCTGTAATAATAGGAGCTGATACATAACGGTATGTATCAGTACCAGATTGCAAGACTGTATTAAAAATGCATTAATTTATATGACCGGAAATTTTCATTTATTTTACACAAAAACACAGAAAAATTCTTACTTTGTAATTCTTATTATTTTTGGTATGAAGTATGAGAGAAATGGTTTTAATAGCACTGAGCGGATTTTTACAATTAACGCTTCTTATGTTATAAAATACAATTTAATTTCATGAAGGTGAAATTTCTTTATATCAGAATTATAATTTTAATTACGTTGAAATTTATACTTATTATATCGGAATAAATATTTTAAGTACAGTTATGTGCTGCATTATTAACATTTATAGGTTTTTAAGCTTCATTCTACAATTTAAAAAATGCAGGATTATTTGATATTGGAAAAGTGCTTTGCGAAACAATTGAAAGCATATAACTGCAAGTAGAAGAATTTGTTTATTATAATGCATCTATTGACGTATTAAGTATTTTTCATAATTTTCAACAAACATTTTTTCAAAAATTATTAAAATTTTAGGACTTTAGGCGCTAAATCGGTTTATTTACGAATTTTGCAGTTTTTCTAAAAGGTGAGAAAAATTGCGATAATTTCGTGATTTGTCGCAAAAATTATGAATTGCATGCCTCTTTTTTACTTCCTTGTACGGAGTAAAGGAAATACTGTTATTGCAAAAAATTCTGGGTATCATATTTAAACGAAAATGTCCATTTTGACAGCTTTCGAATCCATTTGAACGTACCGAAAGAATAAAAGACTTTTTGCTAAAAAGAATTGTAAAATGGATTCGGAAGAGATTTTTTCCCTTGAAGTCCCCCTCCCGCATGTACATACATATGTATGTATGTATTTCACATAACTCAAGAACGAATATTCGTAGAACACTGAAAATTTGTATATGGGACTGCTATAACATGTACGTGTGCACCTTCCGTTTTCGTTGCAATTGGATGCACCAATCATATTTAACTATACACATGTATATGTATGCATGTATATATGTATATATATATATATATATTCTTTCCCTTGTATTGATTTTTGGTCTTAGCAAGACCCTTGCAAAAAATTTATTTGTTTTATTACAATTTTAAATTTTAAATTTAATTTTTGGTACTTTCACAAAGTTTAAACTCTATAAGCTAGTAGGTCCTCCCATAAAATCTTGTATATTTTGACTAATAGCAAATCGCTATTTATTTTATTTTGTACATTGGCATTACCAGTCCATTATCAATAATTATTACACCTTAATGTGTTTCTTCAAGTGGACGCTTCGGGAAATTGGAACAGAGAATTGAGACTAAAGTTTATGGCTAAGTTTTTTTTCAATTAATTTATAAAAAGTGTTTCGTATCCAGTTTCAATTGTCTGTTTCGGCGAAACGCGATATGGAGTTAGCTGGATTCGAAAATGATTAAAAATAATTTCTCCTGAAGAGCCTTAATGAGATTCGAATTGGGCACCAATCATATTTAACTATACTACCATTTACCGCTTCTTTATTTTTGTATTTTTGCTTAGTCATCTGTCGCACTTTAATTCTAATGTTTAAAATATGCTTTACTTTGATCAGCATATTGCTTACAATTAGTATTGAATTTTATTTGTAAATATTCAAGTGTTTATATTGTTTATTTAATCTTTATTACACATTGCATTGCACTTTATTTTACTTATGTTAATATTTTCACGGAACCACAGTATCTAAGCAACTTTTTAGCATACGAACTAGGAATTTTCTTTTAACCTTTTTCTAAATTTTGCAGCTCAGTGCGCAAAGTTTTTAACCACATAAGTCTTTTATCGTTTGTTCTCTGGTCTTTAATTATATATATATATTCCTACGCTGTTACCTGGATCGGTGAGCTTAGTTTTTTTAATAATATATATTGGTAAATTGTGCATTTTATGCTTTAAAAGTAATTTAATTCTGCGTTTTTCTTTTCCGTTGAAGATTTTTATAACTTTTGCTAATCTGGGCGTAATATTTCTGGAGTTATCAACAATTTAAAGGTATAAGTGGCGAGTTAAGCCTAATGAACCGCCATTTGTTTACATTTGAAACTGGGTGGAATAATAAATTAAGTTGGTTTCTGCACTTTCAATGTCTTTTCGCTGAGTAGGACCAAAAGTAAACTTTCAGCTTTGTGCACCTAAAAATCCATTTTCTTGCCCGCTGGGCGAATTGTTTGTTTTTGTCTAGAAACTCTAATTTTAATTGTGATTTTTTTAACTGTGTATGTTTTATGTTTTTCGGTATTTTATAAATTTCAATGAAGATGTTTTGAATTTTTATGTATTTTTGTTAGGCCGCAAATTGCGAGCTGAATAAATGGAATGAGAAACTTATCTCTAATAAAATTCCAGGAAATAAGTTTAAATGAAATGCGAAGAAATATGTGTATAACGTAATAGGCCATACAAGAATGTCATGTGGTGTCCACATCAGAACGTTATTGCGATATCATTAACATATGGTAAAATAATAAAATTACAATTCTGGAAAAAATAACTTAAATGTAAAATATTTTTGATTCGCTCTTGTGTTTTAAAATGTTTTTGACCTTTCATTGAAGCAAATTTTTAATTTTTTATTTCTGAAATTTAGTAGGAAATAAAAGTTATAATGTACTCTTTTGGCTTATTTTTGAATTAGCCAAAAATGATGTTAAAATTAATTTCATCTATCGAATTTTCTGTCTTCTATTGACCATTTTTCCATTTTACTGTTTGTTTCAAAACATTAAGATGGGTGTCAGTTTTTTAGTTGGTGATAATTGTTTTACCCTTTCTGAATTTTAAATAGCACATTTCACGGATTTGCAGGTATCTGATATAATTCTCTTTGGGATTATTAGGGCTATGTAACAGTACTTCTGCATATGTGAAACAGCAATTATTTTGTTTCTGGACTTAAATTAAAGAACTAAGTAATTTTTTTTTTTTTTTTTTTTTTTTTTTTTTTTCATGTGTTGCAGAATATGTTGTGTTTCCAAGACATCAGAGTCTGGGATCTGTTAAGAACTCTGACAAAGAAACCGAATCTGTAGAGGAAGAGCAAAGCAAAATTCCAGTAACAGGTGAAATTTGTATTTTTTTAAATCTAAAAAAAAGTATGTAAAATTTTAAAATTTGTTTTATATTATTACCAAATAAAAACGATTGATAAGAACTAAACACTTTTTATAGATTAAATTTAACTGCAAGGTGTTAGAGAAGAAATATGCTATATATAAAGTACAGAAAGAAACAGAATAAGAGGCTAAAACTAAAAACAAATTTTGTAACTAACCGGGCTGCGCTATAGCTGCAGGATTGAAGTAAAATTGACTTCAAGAATCTAAAGTTAAAAGTAATCCAATTTACTTTTAACTTTAGATTCTTAAAGTCTATCTATCTATCTATCGATCTATATATATATATATTATATATATTATATATTACATGTCATAATTTCCAAGGACATTCGCGATAGGAGAGTGGCATGGCGAGAAGAAGGAGTTGATACCAAACCTAACTTTAGCCAATTAAATTCTTTACTTGTAGATTTGCAGGCACGCTAGAATAATTCCTTGTAACGTGCTCTTTAATCATAGCAATTACGATAATTTCTCATACGCACAGGTAAAACGATCCGATGTCATTTGGAAAGTATAAGCGGCGAAGAGTTGTTTACGTGGCAGAAGTCAGGAAGAAAAAAGGAAGCGTCGTGCTCGTGACTCAGTATTTATACTTCGTTAGATGCAAAAAGTATTCTAAGCTATGATTGGTCAATATTTGCTTTAGTTACCTTTTTCTACCAGTGTTGTGTAATTTGGAATGATCTCGAATTTGGGAGAACAGATGAATTTAAGGGGGAGAGCACCAAATTTAGTATATTAATTTTGAGGTCGCCCATTATTTTTTAAAACGGCTATCGTATTTTGTTATATCTTACATATGTGTAAGGTAAAATAATGTAAATTACAATTCTAGTTTTAATTTGCAGTAGTCCCTTAACTTTCTTATTTAACTAGTTTATTTTCACTCTTTGCCCTAAAAATAATACCTGATTGTAATAAATCCCTTTCAACTGCATCATTTCAAAATTATTCTCGCATAGCGCTAATGATGCAGGCATTTACATAATTCTTCAGGCAATGATGATTTCAAACTTTTGAACATAAACTTAATATTAAACAATGGTGACAAATCTGAACTGAAAAATATCATTCTTAGATATGTTGCATTCTTAGATTCGGTCTTAGATACGTTGCGTTCTTTCGCTTGCTTCCATTTTGGTAGCTTGCTTGCTCTCCGCTGTGGCACTATTTTTATTACATCAAAAACAATTGCTAAATATAGCGTGAAGGTAATTTGTTTTTGCATTGATATTTCTCTATTTGTTTAACTTAAGCAGCCTGAATTAAATTTAAAAAAAAAAGTTATCTCCCAGCACAATTGAGGCCATCTTAAATATTTTCTTCTGAGACTTCAACATGGTATTATTCGCCAAAAAACAGACGCCATAATTCTACTATAATAAAAGTCCAATCAGAAGTACTCTTTGGTTTGGAATTTATATTTTCCAAGTTCGCCTACATTTTTCCCCACAAATATAACTACAACTTCGCTAGCGAAACTACGGTTACCAATAAGACATTTGTTGAAGCTTTGTAGCCAGAAATTGATGCTATTACTAGTGCACTCCTACTCAACAACAAAAAAGGTTTTTCCACATTTTCAGTCGCCATTTTGCATAAAACATTTAAGCAAGAAATGGCCTTCTTTTTGCGCTTTTCTGCACTTTTCAATTTTTAAATAATTTCTTTCAGAAGAATGAAATTCACAGTAAGTAAATTTTGATAATATTTATTTCCTAATTTTGTATTTAGTTGTAACAAATAATGTGATTTTTTATTCAGATTTTTCACTTGTATTCCACTGATTCCTTATGTTTAGATTTTATTTGACTTCATTTTTTTAATTATGTAATGTAAACACTTTAAAATTTGGAGGACTGATTTGACGTAGGGATACGTTCTATGCTATTTGAGTAGTAATTAATTATTAGATATACATAAAAAAGAATTAAGTGCTCTCAAACGGTTTAGAAAGACAGAAACGTAAAATTAGTATTCCCTAATTATCAAAAGATCTAACAAAAAAAAAAAAAAAAAAAAAAAAGGCTTACCCGCTGAAGAAGTCCTTTTTCTTTCAATAATCAACAATTAATTAATTTTTATTTATATATTTTTATTTTATTTTATTTGAACTTAATTTTCAGTAAAAATATTTTGCTTTAATTAAATTTGAAGTAGTTTTTTCACGCACCTTTATTTCCATAAATAATCTCGAATTAAATATCTACAATTTTATTATACTTATGTATGCATATATATGTGTGTGTGTGTGTTGAAGATAAGTATTTTATGAAATATGAAGTTAGGATAGAATTATTATATATTGTTCTCTTATTTCTGTATTTACATATGTTAAGAAAAATAATTTTGTAAATTGTTTTTGAATTAATTGGTAAATGCTATTGAACTATTTGTATATTTAATTTTTAAACATAATTTCGTTTCAAATGTAATCTCTTTGGCATAAATCCAGTTTATTAAGATTTTAATGAAATATCTAAGTCAGGTTACACATGCGAAAGAAAGTTGTTTACTATTCATAAACTGAACTTAGATCTAGACCGCGGAACTATTTCTGTATTTGGAAACAGCGGCAGAGCTAATTTTAATCGTCACCTAATGATTTTTAATATACGCTTTTTTTAAAAATAATTATCTGTGACTGATCTTTTCTTAAAAAACTTGAAGTTATTGACGAGGTGAAAAAGAAATGCTCAGCAATAAAGCTGCATTAGAAATACCTTGACAACTTCAAAAATAGTTAAAAAGTGTTTAAGTGGCATTCTGATGTAAATTTTTCATATGTATGTAGGCCTTAATTAAATATTTCTTTATTAAAGAAACCTCAAATTACACATTAATTAATATTTCAGAGCAAAATTAATCGTTTCAAACGTATTATTAAAATTTATTTTTAATTAATGTGTTAAAATTACAAAGATTATACTACTTTATTCAGAAAAGAGGCATAATATTTTTAAGTAAATTTAAAGCAAAACCCTTTTAAAAACTTATTTAGAGGTAAGTTAAAAAAATTATCTTTAGTGAACTAAAGTTGCACTTTCACACCATGCAGAAAGTTCACAAAGAACTTTCCATGCAGAAAGTTCACAAAGAACTTTCTGCATTATTTTTATTGCGTAATAAAATAATAGTAAATAGTAAAATAATAAATGATAAATAAATAATAATAAAATATTATATCAAACAAAGAACTTTCTGCATTATTTTTAGTGCATAATTCTGTGATTTTTCTGGATGACGGAAATGTATGTTACTGTTTTATACTCAGTGTTGTGTAGATCGCGCTCTTCATTTTTACGGCAGTGATCTCGTTTTTTAAGATATGGTTAGAGAGCTCACGGATGATGAGCTAACCGAGTATTTCGACACAGATGCTCAGTCAGGATCAAGAAAATACCCGAGAAAGCTTAAATTATAGAGCTTCGTTAAAACGTGTGAAAGCGGCAGAAAACGCGATGTAGCGAGAGATTGAAAACAGATAATCAGACACAAGAAATGATGTGTGAATATGTAATAATCGCTAAGTGTAGCTACTATGCTTCTATACTAGAAATACTTCTACTGCGCTACTATACTAGAAAACATCGATAATCTCCTAAATGTTAGCCTTGATAATACTTAAAAATAAAGAGATAATGAGGCATATCTCAAAAAGAAACACAGTTTAATTAAATGAAAACCTTCATGTAAAATATACAAACATTTTACGCACAGCGAAGCTACAAAGCAGAAAATTATAATGTCTTCCAAATGTTAACCTTGGAGAGATAATGTGCCAGATCTCAACACAGTTTAATTAAATGAAAACTTTCATGAAATATATAAGGATAATTTTAATAGTCTGTTACTTTAAAATTGGAATTTCAAGATTACTTTTCGCCACCCGATTCGACTCGTAAGCAAATAGCTGCGAATAAACAGGAGAGCAGCTTAACTTTCCCCTCACTTGATTTTTATTAACTGCGTTTCGCTTCATGAAAATCATATGAATGAAGACTGACTTGAACTATAGTTTCAACTGATGTGGAGAAAATAAATTCTTTACGGTGATGACCCAATATACGAGCACAAATGGGGCTTGGGCAGAAAATAACCTTGAAATGCCTATTAAAACGTAGCAGATTGCAAGTACTACCAGATATAACGAAACTACAAGGCGATATAAACTGAGAAATGTTTAAACGTAACAATTCGTCTTACGACAACAGTCCTTGAATTGAATGTGGGTGGAAGTGATGTCATTCGTATCAGTATTTACAATAAGCCAAATGTGAATTTCGCAGTTTTTAAACCGTTTTAGAAGAAATGAAGCAGATAAACTAAAGCAATGACGCCCTTCGCAACAAATAAATTAAAAACATTGATGTGTACACCACATGATTTCCTCGTATGGAATATTAAATTATACACAATTTTCCTGCATTTCATTTAAGCATATTGAATTAACAGTTGCTGAGCATTATAATTAGGTCATCTGAAGTATTCTCACATGTTATATTCAAATACTCTAAATAAATCTAAAACGATCTATAAAGGAAATTAAACAAATAAAAAAGAAAGATCTTTTCACAGACGATTCAGCGTCGCTTACCTAATGCGCATGCGCTACTAATTAATTCGTTTCTCAAACTTACTAATCTTTTATTCGCTAATACCTCAGTCACTACTACAGCTATAGTCACCAAATTTTCTAAAATTCTTTCTGGGTCCTGGAAAAGGTGACGTCCACGTTTATCCAAAAAAAGTAGCTAAAATCAGAGATATTAATTAAAGCTCGGAAACACGATAATTTTCTCCCTCATTTTTTGAGTCGCAACAGGCTCGCAAGCTGGAGATGAAAATCTGCTTTATTTCGAAAGTTGTTTCCACTGCTTACTTTCAAATCCTAGAGTTTGTTAATAAAAATTTCTAATTTCACGATGAAATAAAAATAG